TCGCTGAAACTATATTGGAGAGATAACCACGCCGTTCACCAATTAACACAACAGTCCGACCATCTGAAGTCTTCAGAGTAGCCCGCTTGTATTCGCAATCCAGCTTTACCTTGTGTTTATTCAACCAATCCATTCCAAGAATTAGATCAAACTCCCCTAAAGGAAGTTCCATAAGATCAGCGAGAAAAATTTATCCCTGAACCTCGAGAGGACAACGCCTAAATACTTTATTCACTAATACCGCTTGTCCTACTGAACTTGTAACTGTAACAGTATTTTCAGTGTTCTCGATCGGAATCTGAAGGTTTCGAGATACTGAGCTCGATACATAGGAGTGAGTGGAGCCATTGTTCAATAATGCAAAGTATGGGGTAGAATAAATAGTAAATGTACCTGCAATAACCTCAGGCTCATCTCTGTCATCACGACGTCTAGTTGCATAAACTAAAGCTGGCTGTCTAGCCTCAGAAGCTGTTGGCCCTCTATTTTGCTGAGGTCGGGCTCTACTGTCTGTCCTGGACGCTGATCCTCGAGTCTTTCCTTGACTACGATCTCTAATTGGGGTCTGTACTGTAGTCTGCGAACGCACAAGAGTTTGGGTAGTGGTCTGCTCAAACGAAACTAACTGAGGACAATCCCTCCGATAATGACCACTAGACCCACACTGATAGCAAAGACCCATCTTCTTACGACACTCTCCTGAGTGCTGTTTACCACAATACTCACAAAGGGGCCCATTATAATACGACGAGGAACCGCCTCGACTGACAGCTAAAGGTGAGGATGCTGCAGGCCTGAAACGTGTATTGTTTCTTTGAGGGGCTGAAGTACGAGTCCTCTTCCCGGACTGTGCTGATGACTCCATCGGGCCTGAAAATTTCTTAGATCGATCTTGATCAACACGCTCTCTACCAGAAGCTAAAACCTCCACCTCTTCCGCATCTTTGGCTCTTCTCACCAGCACATCAAATATCTCATCCTGATGGGTTACAACTTGCCTACGCAGCTCGTATCTGAGTCCAAGGGCAAATTTACGACATCGATCTCTCTCCATAGGTACCATACTGAATCCATACTTCAGCAACTTCAGGAACTCGATCTCATATTCAGAAACAGTCATGTCTCCCTGAACCAGGTCTTGAAACTGTTGTCGTCTCTGAGCTAAGTAGCGCTCTCCCAAAAAACGGCTCCGAAAGCGATCCTTAAAGAAATTCCAGGTCAAACGATCGGTAGGAACACTACTGGTCACTGACTCCCACCAAGTGTAGGCATTGCCATCTAACATCGCCACAGCACCATGATATCTCTTAGTTGAGTCCAAACCCAACTGATCCATGCGTCTCTCTGTATCCTGGAGCCAATCCTCAGCTTCAGTAGGAGCTCCACCTATTTGTCCCCCAAAAGTTCTAACTCCATTGGCAATCAAAGTCTGCGAAATAGGAACCTCAGATACAACACCAGTAGCTCTGACTGCTCCATGTATTAACTGCAGAAATTGTCTACCAAAATTCTCATCCAAAGCAACTCTGGTAGACTCTGACTCAATATCGGTCGCTCCTATTATCGGTGTAGTCATGCCAATACCAGCGGCAGGAGGCAGATCCGTTGGGGTCGTAGGAGCATGATCACCTATCGGAGGTAGGGGATCTACCCGTATCTCATCGATCGGATCTGCGAATCTAGCCACTCGACCTCGTCCACGGCTAGTTCGACAACTACGTCTAGCACTCATTTTGATGGATCTCAAGTTTACTACAGAAGATAAAACTTAGGGTTAGATAAGCACTTGGAGTCTCAAACATAGTTAAAATCTTAATAACTTTGTGACATGGCCTTAGTAACTCGTTTTGTAAAATATTTCAAAATCGTATTTTCAATGTGGACTCATACACAGTCCGAGGGTTAAAAACCAAAAGCTCTGATACCAATAAATGTAACCCCCTAGACCCGGCCTATGCGTTTCGACTAAGTCTAGTGGATCACATTATGATTATTAAAGACATTTTTCGCAACCGTTATTCCATCAATATAAAATCACATTATAAATAACATGAAATTATAAACAAATTATACTATCAAAATCCAACTCATAAATATAGTACAAATAAATAATAATTTAATTTAAAAATTGTCTTCAAATTCAAAATCACAATAAACCGAGCAGTATTAGCAAAAGAGTTATCATTATAAAATTCGATATTTTAAAATAAGGTCCATGTCACCAAAATAAAATCAACTTGCCATATAAGAACATTACAATCTGATTTACTTCAAGAGATATGTTGATCCTCCAAGTGCTCGAACCAAGGTATCTAACCAACAGTATCTGAAAGGGGGAAACATTTTCAAAAGGTGAGCTAGGCTCAGTGTGTCCCAACATTTCCATAAAATCACAATAGGTACAAATCATAGTCCAGTAATCTCACAAATTCGTAAAAGAGTTTAACTTTTTGAAAATCATAGTTTAAACCCTTTTTCTGGTACACCATCAGTAGTTCCCAAAATTATTTTCCATATAGCTTACTTTATGCACATAGCAAAAAGAAAGCCGACTTAAGGATAGGCTCTGAAGCTTGTATCCTTAAGCCCAAGTCAATAAGTCCATATAGCTTACCCTAAGCACACATCAAAGGAAAGCCGACCTAATGAAACATCTTGGGGCCCTCAAGAGTCACATTAGGCCCAGTTAGCTTGATCAGAGCTATTCCATCGTAATTCAATTCCAAAATTCAATTGCACCGTGACATAAATTCCATAAATCCAAAAACATGGTAATCATATACCATTTCAAAACAAAAATTTGATATCAGCCATATTCCATAAATTGTCACATTAAATTGGTGCATCCATAAAACAATAACCAATGAATTCGGTGTACCACATATTAAAACCAATAAAACAGTTCAATAATAAGTAGGGAACACACCTCGACAATAGATTCAAATAACAAATCTACTGATTGCTGGTTTCACCACGCTCTGCTACAGTTTTCGAACGGGTGAATACTGGCACACGTGGTTTAACTGATCTAGAAGAGCTAGGTCGAGCTGTCGAACGATCCGGAGAGTCTCTTGTACCTTCAAACAATAATATTTATCAGTCTCAAATCCTATTTAATTGTTCAAAGCTAAACTTCTTAAGTATATACGCATTTTTCGGGTTTGACTATCAATTTGAGGTATTTCGAGTCTGAATTTGGCCAAACGGATTGCGGAATCGGAATCAGGGCGTCGAAAAACATAAAGTATGACTTTTCGAAAATTCAAATTCTTGGTCAAAGTCAAAGTCAAAGTCAACCACTTTGACCGTAGATTTGGAGACCTTCGGATTTGAATTTGACAAAACGGACCACGGAAACGGATTCGGCACGTCGAAAACTATCAGGATAGGTATACTCGGAAAAGATTAACGATCGTTTAATGCTCGGTCAAAGCCATTCTAAGTTTTGGTCAAAGAAAGTCAACGGTCAACGGTCAACGGTCGGATCAGGTCGGGTCAACGGTCGGGTCGGGTCAACGGTCGGGTCAACGGTCGGGTCGGGTCAGACCGGTCAAACCGGTTCAGACCGGTCAAACTGGTTCGAACCGGTTGAAACCGGTCAAACCGGTCAGAACCGGTTGAAAACCGGTTAAACCGGTTTCCAGCAGCCACTCGCCCTGCGGCGGCGCGTGTGGCGCGTGAGGTGTCCTCCGGGGCCCTAAAAATCCCGGAAAAATTTCTAAAAATTATTTTGAGCGATTTCAAGATACTTACAACGATCGGTTCAAATTTTTGAACGGCGGAGAGCTCGATTTCAAATCGGCCGAATCTTTGACTGCACCACCTCCTCACGCGCCGCCGTCTACGGCGGACAAGGTTGACACCGGTGAACTCGGAACGGCACAAGGAACACGATGGTGCGGGAGGTGTCGTAAACGGAGTAACGATCAGCGGTGAATTTAAGATTTCCTCGGCGATAGAGCTAACAAAACCGTCGCTACTTTGACTGGAAATTCCCGACGTTTGGCCGCGTTTCGCTTCAATTAATTTGAAGGGTTGGTTCCTCGCTCGATGATGAACACAACGGTGGTTTCAAAACAACGATCGGAATTCGGACGGCGTTTGGATCGGAGTTGAAAATGGAGGTGTGAGAGGAAGAAAATTGAAGAAAAGCTTTTGTGTTTTCTGATTGAAATCAGAAAACACGTTAGTTATAACAAACTTGCCGACACTTTTAGGGGAAATTCAGGGCTTGGTCCTTGAATTTCCTTTACTTTGAAAATGGCATACAAGTTTTCATAAATTATACTTTAGTCACTTAATTTCACCCATTTTCACAATTTACCTCCAATTTCAATTAAATATTATTTTGAAAATCAGGTTGTTACAGGTCAAATGTCTTTACTAATTTAAGAGTTTAATTACATGAAAAAACATTTTTAAATGGGAATAGTTGATTCACTCTTAAACCTATTTTAAAAAGAGTTAATTGTTTCTATCATCTTAAATTGGTACATAAACTTGTTAACACTCTAATTACTATCGCTCTCATTCTAGATTGGTCCTCAAACTATAATCTTCATTCCAAATCGATCCCAAACTTTTGAAAATCCCAATAACCTCCCCCAAAACCATACAAAAGTTTAGGGATGAAATGTTTAAGAGCCAATTTTAAAATATTGTAATTTGAGAATAAAATTAATACCATAAAAAGATTTCAAAGATTATTTTAAAATAAGAATCATATACAATGTCATTAACTCTAAAAATTATAGATGTTCAACCACCCGACAACCCTAATTTATGTACGACTTAATTTTATCCTAACCATTTGTAAGTCATAATTATGGGAAAAGAAATTGAATGTAGAGGACCACTAATTTCACCAAACAAAGAGCAACCCATTTTAACACGATGAAGATTCAATATTATTCACCCTGTTTATGGCACGATCTGTCCAGATATATCTGGTATTAATTACAACAATCTAACCCTTCCCCGTTTCCATTATTTCAGTTTAAATAAGCTTACCTCTCGCGATCCATGCATGGCCTTCATCAAACCAGGCTTAGAATCAAGCTCATCTCAGTCTCGATCGCCTTCCACTCATCGGGTTTTTTGATAATGGGTCGCTCTACTTCATGCCATGAAAAGGAAGGGTTGAAAAGAGGGCCCTGGACTGCTGAAGAAGACCAAAAGCTCACCGCTTATATTCAACAACATGGCCATGGAAACTGGAGCTCCTTGCCTGAGAAAGCCGGTGAATGATTTATGAACTCTATGAGCTTGAATTTTATGTTCTTTTTATTGCGTTTAATCTTTTATTTGTTTTGTTTTTAGGGTTAAAGCGATGTGGTAAGAGTTGTAGGTTGAGATGGATTAACTATCTACGACCTGATATCAAGAGAGGAAAGTTTAGTTTACAGGAAGAACAAACCATTATTCAGCTCCATGCTTTTCTTGGCAACAGGTGATCATTAAGATTCCAGTCTTTTTTTTTTCCTTTGTTTGATCTTGAAAAGAAATCCATGGAGCTTTGAATTGTGTTCTTTTTTGTTTTGGTTTTATAATTTTAGATGGTCGGCTATAGCTGTTCATTTGCCGAAGAGAACTGATAATGAGATCAAGAACCACTGGAACACTCATCTAAAGAAGAGGCTAATCAAGATGGGGATCGATCCTGTGACCCACAAGCCTCGGGTCGATGCACTCGGCTCGTTTGGACATGGATGTCACGATGCGAATTTAAACCATATGGCTCAGTGGGAAAGGGCTCGCCTCGAAGCGGAAGCGAGAGCTGCAGTTAGCCGTGATTCGTCGAATAAACAGGCCTTGCCGAATCTCGGCCGAATCCAACCGAAGTTTCACCCCGGGACTGATCCTCTACCTATAAGCACGCCGAGACCAAAGTGTCTCGATGTGCTCAAAGCGTGGGAAGGTATGGTTACCGGCATGTTTAACTTCCCTAACCGAGACAACATTGACTCTCCAACCTCGATGTCGAACTCCTCAAGTGCTCCGATTCAAATTCCGATCGGTGAAACCGTCGTAGATTGCAATGCCACCGATCATTTATATACATACAATGAATTGGTTTACATGGATGAATGGAAACGTACTAATCAAATGCAAGAACTAGAAGACTGGAAGGATGAGTCTACATCGTCGACAATGGCATTAACACAAGATCAGGTGACGACGTACGCAACCGAAAACACGTGGTTTACCGATAACATAGCGGCTGCTGCTGCAGATTTTAAGGAGGACTCATCAGAATCAGATGCTTTGATTGGTATTCCAGTTTCATTTTCATCGAAGGAAGTTGAAGCATCAAATGGAAGCTGCCCAATAGCCGATAGTGTCTGGATGTTAGAGTAATGTATCACCATTTTGTAATATTGTGCAGTACAATGATCATTTTGTTTTGTCAATCACCGCGAATCGACAGAGTTTATGCGTGCATGCAATGATTAATCATTTCGAATGTGATTCTGAATCAGACTGCTAATTATTTTCGAACGTCAATGTTATGATTAATGATTATTTCGAACGTTCAGGCACCAAATTAGAGAATTCAAGATCAATAAATCTTGAAACATATATATGATGCTAATTATTTTCAACGCCAAAACAAATATATATCAGAAGGTCTAGTCGTCTAAAGTAGGAGCCAAGGAGGAGGAAGGACCCCTAGGCAGAGATGCATCGAGGGGTCAGTGAACAGTCGTTCTTGAAAATGTTAAATACTCATAAGTTATATATTTTTATTTTTGACAATTTATTTTTACTCTTAAAATTTAATAAATCCATCCCAACATAAAATATTGTGTTCATCCTAATCTATCCTTGATCTTAGTCTTTTCAAACTCTGCAAATTACAATCAAATCACAATCTCAAATAATAAACATATAAATAATTATCGCAAAAATAATTAGAGAATTTAAGTATTAAATATATTTAATCTCAAGTTTTACTATGTATTATATGAACAATAATATCAATAGAACAAAATTCAAATCGAAAACAATATTCAAGTGGGGTGGTCAATTTTATCACCAAAACCAAGTGGTTGGATTCGTTTATTTAGATTGGACTCGTTTATTTAGACATTCATTCATAAATTTTCAGGTAGCCCAATTCCAGTTGATTATCATCGCTTATATATTCACCACACATCACTAATACTCTTCACTCCCAACCAATTTTCCTCTCTTTCTCATATTCTGTCCTTTTTTTCTCTTCTCAACTAATCACTTCAATTAACCATTCAGTAAAAGAAAATCAAAATTCATTCACTCAACTCCCAATTCTCAGGCAGCCTGTTATTTCGTTTTGCTTCGGTTTACGGCCAAAATGTGGCAGCGGTCGTCTCTGAACAACGGCAATAAGAAGGTGGCCGGTTTAAAGAGAGGGCAGTGGACAGCTGAAGAAGACGAAATACTAATGGCTTACATTAAAAATCATGACCACGGATGTTGAAAGTATTGTTAAAATGATTTTCAAGTTTGACAACCAACTTTGAAAAAATGGTTTTCAAAGTTTGTAAATGTTTCTTTGAAAAATAGTTTTTCAAAGTTTGGTAGATGTTTGTTGAAAAATCATAATGGGATAATCACAATTAATCCCTAGGCTTTAGGGTATTTACAAGATTAAGTCCTTAAGTTTCAACTATAAATACCCTAGCTCATTTAGTTTCAAAACCATCACCAAAAAAATCATTTCTTTCTCCCAATACTAGAGAGCTTTATTGTGAGTAGTGAGTGTTTTTTGTAAACACCTGTAAATTTTCTCTCTAGTAAAAGATTTGCAGCAGTCCGGAGACGTAAGCAAAATTGGCTGAACTCCATTATCAATTTCGGGTATTATTTTTCCGTTTTTATTTCGTATTCTCACTAATCTGGTTATAGGGAAATTACTTGTTTACTCGTTTATTTCCCAACAACTGGTATCAGAGCTTTTGATTGTGAATTTTGTCAATTTTTTGCGAGGTTACTATTAATTACTATTCACGTGAATAGTGAATTTCCTGAATAGTAAAAAAATTTATCGGCGATACGAGCTTGTCGACGGAGGTGTTCTAATACGGTGGTTCGCAAGAATTGTTAGAAACGATCCAAACGAAACCAGATTCGAGTGAGAGCGATGGCTGCAGACGAAGGGAATGTGAAAATTGAAAAGTTCGATGGTGCGGACTTTGGCTTTTGGAAGATGCAGATTGAAGATTTTCTGTACTAGAAAAATCTATATCAACCTCTCTCGGGAAAGCAACCAGAGGGCATGAAGAATGAAGACTGGGATCTTCTCGACAGACAAGCCCTCGGAGTTATCCGACTGACGTTATCCCGCAATGTTGCTTTCAACATAGCAAAGTAAAAGACCACGACGAGTCTTATGGCGGCTCTCTCCAGTATGTATGAGAAGCCACCAGCCTCAAACAAAGTGCACTTGATGAGGCGATTATTCAATTTGCGGATGACGGAAGGGGCATCGATGGCACAACACCTAAATGAACTCAACACAATCACAACTCAGTTGAGTTCAGTGGAAATTGAATTCGATTATGAAGTTCGAGCTTTAATTCTCTTATCATCTCTACCAAACAGTTGGAATGCTACTGTTACAGCAGTTAGCAGCTCGTCGGGAAATAGTAAATTGAAATTCGATGATGTTCGGGATCTGGTACTGAGCGAAGAAATTCGACGGAGAGAATCGGGTGAAGCATCAACCTCCTCAGCCTTGCACACGGAGTCCAGAGGGAGAACTTCAAAAAGAAATTCAAATCATGGCAGATCGAAATCCAAACGGAGAAAATCCAGAACGGGAAAGAGATATTTTACCTGTTATAATTGTGGCAAGAAGGGTCACTTTAAAAGAGATTGTCGAGCACTGAAGAAAATTACCAGTGCACATGAATCTGCCAACGTGACAGATGAGACAGGTGACGCCATGATTCTAAGCGTCAACAGTCCGATTGAATCATGGATCTTGGATTCAGGGGCATCTTTCCACTCCACCCCATGCCGAGAAATCATGGAAAATTATGTCAGTGGTGATTTTGGGAAGGTTCATCTAGCTAATGATGAAACCTTGAAGATCGTCAGAAAAGGAGACATCCGACTAAAGTTGCCAAACTAGACCACCGGGACACTGAAAGGTGTGAGACATATTCCTAGCCTCAAAAGAAATTTGATTTATGTAGGACAGCTTGATGGTGAATGACTTAGCACAACCTTTTCAGGCTGTGAATGGAAGATTACCAAAAGAGCACTCGTCATTGCTCGTGGTAAGAAAACTGGTACTCTCTATATAACCTCAAATTTAGAGAATATCATTGCAGTAGTAGATGCTGATGGAAAATCAAACATATGGCACCAAAGGCTTGGCCATAAGAGCGAGAAAGGGATGAAGACACTTTTGTCAAAGGGGAAGTTGCCGGATCTAAAGAATGTAGATGTTGGACTATGCGAGGATTGCATCTTTGGCAAACAAAATAAAGTCAGCTTTGCAAAGATTGGTAAGATACCCAAGGCTGAAAAGTTAGAGTTGGTTCATAATGATGTATGGGGACCATCTCCAGTTCCATCTCTTGCAGGCTCATTATATTATGTCACCTTCATCGATGATTCTACAAGGAATGTGTAGGTTTATTTTCTGAAGAAGAAATCAGAAGTCTTTGATACCTTCAGAAAATGGAAAGCCATGGTGGAAAATGAGACTGGTTTGAAAGTCAAGCGGTTGAGGTCTGATAATGGAGGAGAGTACAGAAATCATAGATTCAGAGATTTCTGCGCAAATAATGGGATCAAGATGGAGACAACAGTTCCCATGACACCGCAGCAGAATGGCGTAGCAGAACGCATGAACAGAACTCTGAATGAACGTGCCAGAAGCATGAGGATACATGCCGGATTGCCCAAATTTCTATGGGCTAAAGCTATCAACACTGCAGCTTACTTGATCAACCGTGGGCCCTCGGTTCCTTTGGAAGACAGAATACCAGAGGAAGTTTGGAGTAAGAAAGAAATAAACATTTCACACTTAAGAGTATTTGTGTAACACCCCCAACCCATACCCGACCCGGATATGAGTCAGAGATACTACATTGACTTTAAAACACAACTCTTAATAAATAATAGTAAAATATTTGATCTTATATTAAGAAAATACAATAATATACATACTGTAATATAAGTTTACCAAAATATTCAGAGCATACACAACTTAACCCTTTAATTACATGCCAACTGCTATTTACATAACAAAATGACCTACTGATTAAGTTACTTCTGATCTGATGGTTGCAGGAGTAATACTGTCAAGCTGCTTCACCTGTCTCGTCTATTTCCTCGGATCCTACGTGTGAAACACTCACACGCTAAGTCATCGACTTAGTGAGGCAATAATAATAATAAGGCAATGTAATGAAAATGTCATGATCATATGAAATGAGATGCAAACATGTACTTAATCAATGTAGTATACATCATTAATATCCATACCTGTAAGCGTATGACTGTAACATTCATGAATCTGTATTAATAAGTTTATTGGCCCATGATAGCATATTGAGAACCTAAGGTATCGGAGTAGTGTGAGGTTGTGCACTATGCTGTCACCACAGCTCGTATAAATGCACCGAAGTGCCCCGTAGAATTGCACCGTAGTGCCATATAATGATGTCCATAAGGACCACATAGAATTCCTTAAGAATCATATACATATACTATGGATCAAGTATGTGTCTTTCAAGACTTCACACATGTTCCAAAGGATATACATATGTCCTAAAGAACCGCGTAGAATTGCACCGTAGTGCCATATAATGATGTCCATAAGGACCACATAGAATTCCTTAAGAATCATATACATATACTAGGGATCAAGTATGTGTCTTTCAAGACTTCACACATGTTCCAAAGGATATACATATGTCCTAAAGAACCGCGTAGACCCTCTACCCTTGGCATGCCAACTATATCTATAGTTCTCATCTACATAACATGGGCTTTTACATTTCACGTAGTCTATATCGCGTAGACATGTAATTTCTTACCTTTTCACATAGCTCATAATTTTTCCCACATATTCATGTCATATAATGCATTTTCATATGAACTCATGTTATGTCTCATAATACAGAATATGCTCATGTATCAAGATATAAAAATCTAGACTTATCACAAGTCTAGAATGCAGGATATTTCTATAATCATGCTATGCATATGCACTCACCTATACTTCTTTGCCTTTTCCTCGATCGATTCTACTTGTAGATTGTTCCCGAACTCGAGTAGGCTCGGTATCTACATAAACATAATTTTCAAGATGATCATCAGATGTCTATGTCTTGAAATTAAGCTTTAATAGCTTACTAATTTATGGAATTTATAGCTTAGTCTTTCTTTCTTTTCTTTCTCTTTTTTTTTCTCATGGGGGAATCGGTTCCCCCCC